GAGAGAGTGTGACTTGCCCTAGGTCACTCAATGGGTTTTCATGGCCGAGCTGAGCATGGGATGTTTGAACGCAAAGAAAAGAAACGGAACTGTCCTGGACAGGCTACTTGTTTCTGAGGGGAGGGGAAAATAGGTAACACCGCTGGTTCAAAATGGCTGCAGCCTCGCGTTCCCATGGCAACGGGCAACGGCTTCTCTTCCTCCTCCTGAAGCAGCGGCGATGTCAGCCTGCGGGGACCAAGGGAGAGAGCCCCGCTACACTTTCCATCACCTCCCTCAGAAAGGCTTCCCGGCCTTGGAGAGCAGAAACACCCGGGACCTCCTGCTCAAATGGTGGGGGAGAGATGGCTCTTCTCTCTCAGGGGTCTCAGGGCCGCTTCAGGGGAAGCAACAACCCTTGTTGTTGTTGTTGTTGTTCTTGTTGTGTGCTTTCGAGTCGTTTCCGACTTATGGCTACCCTAAGGCAGTGAATCTGTCTTGGGGTTTTCTTGGCAAGATTTGTTCAGAGGAAGTTTGCCATGGCCTTTCCCTGAGGAGGCTGAGAGAGTGTGACTTGCCCAAGGTCACCCACCCTGTCATGGGTTTTCTTGGCAAGATTTCTTCAGAAGGGGTTTGTCGTTGCCATCCTCTGAGGCTGAGAGAGTGTGACTTGCCCAAGGTCACCCAGCCTATCATGGCGTTTTCTTGCCAAGATTTCTTCAGAAGGGGTTTGTCATTGCCATCCTCTGAGGCTGAGAGAGTGTGACTTGCCCAAAATCACCCAGCCTATCCTGGGGTTTTCTTGGCAAGATTTCTTCAGAAGGGGTTTGTCATTGCCATCCACTGAGGCTGAGAGAGTGTGACTTGCCCAAGGGCACCCAGTGGGTTTCCATGGCCGAGTGCATGGAATGAAATGGAGGAGCCTTTGAGGGATGGAGCTGGTTTTCGGGGAGTGTTCATAAACTTCAAAAATATTGGGAGAGGATATTTTTATTTTGTTGTATTGTGTTTTATTTTATTTATTTAATTTATATACCACCTTTCTCCTGGAAAGGGACCCAAGGCAGCCCACAAATAAATATTGGTAGTGTCTCTCTGACCACCCAAATTTTGGAAATAATTCTGGCAACTGTCTGATGGGGTTGTATCCACACTGCAGAAATAAAGCAGTCTGGCACTGCTTTAACTGCCACGGCTCCATCCTATGGGACCCTGGGATTTGTAGTTTCCTGTGCCACCAGAATTCTCTGACAGAGAAGGTGAAATATTCCCCAAAAGTACAGATCCCAGGATTCCATAGCATTGAGTCATGGCGGTTAAAGTTGTGTCAAACTGGACTAATTTTGTATTGTGTCAAATTCGACATGATGGGCTCTGGCAAATCTCTTCTTTTTCTTTTAAAAATGTTTAGTATTCTATAGCTTGTTGGTACAGTGTGATCTGTGATTATTGATATCTCATGTTAATAGAAATTAATTGCTTTTCTGAGCTGACTAGATATTCATCTTTGTCCTTAGGTTTACACTTCAGACAGCACCATTAAGTCCTCATTTGACTTTACTTTTGAACTGTGTTGTTGCTGCTGTTGCTGCTGTTATTGTTGTTGTTGTGTGCCTTCAAGTAGCTTCAGATTTATGGCAACCCTAAGGTGACCTATTATAGGGTTTTCTTGGCAGGTTTCTTCAGAGGGGGTTTGCCACTGGCATCCTGAGGCTGAGAGTGTGTGACTTGCCCAAGGTCACCGTCAGTTTACATGGCCGATCTGGGATTCAAACCCTGGTCTCCAGAGTCCTAATCCTACGCTCAAACCACTACACCATGTTGTACTATATTTATATTGCTTCACTTTCCTTCTACCTTCCTTAACAAAAGAAAACATGTTTTTTCTTTTTCATGAAATAATTAAAAAATTGTCTTCTATTGTGTCCAAAATACAGTCTAAAGAAGTACCATGTAATAATAATAATAATAATAATAATAATAATAATTTCTTATACCCCACCTTTTGTCTTGGGAATCAAGGCAGCTTACAAGTATAAAAACATACATGCCATAAAACTGTAATACAATACCCCCCTTAAAACTAAATACAGTAATAAAAGCATAAAGATTAAAACAACATATGTCCTGGGACACCAGTAGGAGTGTATAACAGAGATGTATATTGGGGAGAAGCACAGTTCACGT